CTCGGGAAGGCAACGACACCGAATGCCCTCTCCCCGTTGAAGTAGACTCTTCTCGGCGAGGGGAGAGGACGGAGGATTTCCGTATAATTTCCCGAGCCGTAGAGCCGATTTTTCTATCGGGAGCTCGGGAGATCGGAGGGGTGCAACGAGGAAAAAGGAGCATCGTAAATAGGATTCGCGTACGGGAGAACCTTTGCAGGATCCCTCTTCCCTCCCCGACGCGCTTTCTCCCTCTTCCTGTTTACGTCGGATTAAGCGTTTCCCTTTTCAGCGTGGCGTCGAAGTAACGAAATGCGAAGGTAAGACATTTCCCTTTAGAGCCTCCCCTGGCGCGTCAATATTTGAATAGAATCAGCCGAGATGCCTCCCTTACCTTCGCCGCTTTTCCCGGGGCTCCGGAATGGAGTTTCCACCCCCGCAAGAAGGGCTACTTATCCCGCGAGGCCGAAAGAAGCCACCTCGTCTGCGGGAAGATGTTTTTCCAAGGGCTGATCGATTGGCCGCCGAAAACGCCGCGAGAGCGCGAGCCATTGATCGAGTTCTAGATGGAAATTACACGGGGCCGCGTCCTCGTGGATTTTCCCCCTCCGAGGAGGGCGATCGTTAGCCGAGCGGTTCGTCCTGGAAAATGGCCACCTCGGCGATGGTTCTTTGACACACCCGAGTCGGAAGAAGGACTCCGCGGCACAAAGGGTCATTCCGAGAAAACCCCTTCGTCCTCTCGCAAGAATATCCGATTCTGTCCCATGAGCGTTCCGTTTAGAGGAACTCGCGTCGGTCCTGGCGGATTTTAACTCGATCCCCCGTATATTTCTATATCGAACCCACCCCGCCGTTTCCTCCATTTGGACCTCGCTCCGAATCCGTCGAGTTAAGCGTTAAGTTCGAAACGAATATCCTCTCCTCCGCGCGACAGAAAAATCGAAAATCGGCCTCCTGGACTTCCTTCGAGGACTGTACGTGCCACGCGACGTCTCGAATTTAAATTGAATCGTGATGAACTCCCGCTCGCGCACCCACACCCCGGAGGGCGCGTCTACGTGCACCTCGCGGCGCGCGGTTCGAGACGCAATGTCGGCCCTCTCATATGGAACATGTCAGCGCATATTTCTTTTCGAGCCAGTTCGCGCCGCGCCGAGGACTTTCTCGGGAATCACCCGGAGGACTTATCGATTTTCCCCGTGTACGGCTCGCCACCCCGCGACGCACCCCGATCTTCCGCGGACTACCGTCCGAAATATCGCTTACTTCGCGAGGATTAACGGCGGAGGAATTATCCGACGCGGATCCCGTACTCTTCACTCGTACCGAGGGTGCTTCGCTATCAAGATCGCGCGCTGCATCGCGCCCTAAAAGCGCGGAGTAATTGGAGTACGTTAATCTCGCGCCGGAGAACCCTCGCAAGGGTTCGGATTTTCGAGGGCATGCAGTCATCTCTTGCATCCGGCTCACACCCGGGAAAAATACACCGAATTAGCGATCGGCGTCTTTCTTCCGACCCGGTCGACGAAGCGAAACGATCCATCCAGGGTCGCGATAATCGCGATTGCACCCGCGAACGAGGGACTCGAGCCGGGAGCACGCATCGAGGCGTAAACGTCGCACGGACGTGCACTCGGCTGCCTCCGCGACCCGATTGGCCGAAATTCCAGCCGGCGATCTCATTAGCCCATCTCTCGCCCTCTGATTAGGCGACCCCCCGCGAAACGTTTCACTTTACAACCGGTCCGGGGGCAATTACCTCTCGCATCGAGCGGCCTCTTACCGCGACAACGCGCGTCTTCCGCTCTCCCGATTTTTTCCGCCTACGGAAACTCTTACCCCAAGCCCGGAAGAAGCGATCACCCGATTTCTCGCGGACCCGAACGAGCGAGGAGCAGGAACGATAAATCTCGATCCTTCCCATTGACCGAAAAATCCCGTCTTCTCCGAAGCCCGGTTTATTTCCGCGATCCTTCGGTAGTTCCACCGCTTCCACGGCGCGCGCCATACAGTAGCTATATAGGCGTCGAAGTATAGGGGGTCGAGGATATATAGACGTCGCGTGCTCAGGGCGGCTGCGTGTCGGCCGACGTAGCAGCGCTCGCGCAATGTAGTTCCTCGGATATCTTTGACGCGGGAGCATCTCGTTTCGAACGAGTCCACCCTCGGCCTGTGCTTTTTCGCGCCTTACCTTGCTGGAGCGATCGCCCTTATCGCCGGAATCTCGGCGAGCCCTCGAGACCCGCCTTGCACCTTGGACGGCCTCGGGACGAGTGCGCGGCCCGCCGCCACCCGCCGCTACCCGCCGCTACCCGCCGCTACCCGCCGCTACCCGCCGCAGTCCGCGCTAGCTGCACGCGCGGCTCGGTAGTGCATCGCGCACGCTGCGTCGCGTATTCCGCACGTACATCGCGCAAGGACGACGGTAACCGTTGCCGGTCATCGAGCTACCGCGGTGCCGGCTCCGAGCCCAAGACCTGGACCTGGTCTACAAAAAATTGTAAAGAACGCTACACTCCCATCTTCCCAGTGTTTTCGTGAATTGGGGCGCTGTCGAGTTTATCTTATAGCTGCCCGAATTCCTTCAGGCGTGACATAACGAGAAGACGGATCGCGTAGCCATTCGAGGCCATTCCGCCTGCGAGTTTTGTCTCGTCGACGATTGACTCCGCGGACTCGGACCACTTCCTAGTGGTTCGGCAAAGTGCGTCGCAATCGAGGAGCCGTCAGTGGCCGTGCCTAGTGTCGGAGACTGGAGCCTGTCTTCTCCCTGTGAATTAACATTTCACGATGTATCCGTACGTCGGAGAGTTGCTCCATTTTCATGACCGGTGAACGACCCGCCGTTCGGTGACCGCAGAATCCGTCAACGTTTCGAAGACTACGCTGGAAGCTGAGCATTCGGGGGATTTTTCTTTGGATCTTTCTTCGATCGGTCCGACTTCAGGTTATACGCTTTTCGATAATGGTTTCCATCTCCTACAGATAAAATAAAGTCGTCGACCTGTCGATGCGGTGTTCTAGCCGTTAATGGAAGGATCGCCTTCGGTGGATCGGGAGTTCGTCGGTGGCGGCGATAATCGGTTTACGGGAATTTAATACGAAACAACCCCAGTGAGGCGTAACTCGAGACTTCGCCTCGTCTAATTTCAAGAACCCCGTTATCATCGGGGCCCAAGTGACGATTACGAGAGCGGTAGCTGTTGCAACTGCGAAACGCCCCGCTCGAAGTGACCCGTTAACGCCTCCAACGAGCGGTATGGAACCATCGAGAAAACGGCGGTGACAACGCGGAATGAAATCCCAAAAACCATTCGGCTAGCCGTTCGCGATTAAACTTTGAAGATCCTCGAGCGAGCTGCAGCGATGGCCCCCGAAAATCGTTTTAAAAAATCATGGAATAATCGCCGCGTCGCCTCGCTTGAAAATAAATAAGCCAGTGCTACGGCTTAACCGGGGGAATTGCAATTTTACCGGGTAACTACTTAACTGCCGGAACAAAAAAGGGATATTTTTCCGCTATTTGGCGAATGGCCAGGATGCCTGTTTATGACGCAGGCGAAGATAAGGTAGAAACGCCGCCTCCGCGAAATGGAATGTCGCCCTCCCAGATTTCTGGGTCCCTCGTCGAATAGAGGAGAATTTTCCACAGGCGACAATCCAAAACGCGGCGTCGCTCGATTGCGGAATTACTTTAATTGGAAAACTTTGGAACGCTAACGTGTCCGGCGTCGACGAGTTTCGTCGGCGAAACTCACATATCGACGCATGGAAGCATCGCTCGGATAACGAGGGGACGCAAAAACAAGAGTCGTTCAGCCTGCAACCGGTGTATTTTAACGAGGGAATAAGTGAGACGCGCGCAGAAGCGACGTCGATGATCGGGGACGCGAAACCGGTGATTACCGAGGATTTCCTCGCGACCGATTTGGGACGGTAATCGCTCGACCCGTTCACAGTCCGGCCAGCCCAACCCACGATTCACCTTTCAGAGTGGGCATCGAACCCGAAACCGCATTTTACCCGGAGGACAAGCGAGATTTACGAGACCCAACGCTAACGATCGCGACTCCGACGTCGACCCTTAAAAGAGACGTCGGTGGAAGCGAGAGTGTCCCGAGCGAGCCGGAAGTCGCCGCTCGGAAACTGAAAGTTTGATATTAAAGCTCCCTCTCCTGGATTCGTCACATTAAAGTGGAACATTGGGATAACTGCCATATTTTTACATTTAGAAACGAGGCTCTCGAGAAGTCGGCCTGATTTAAGGGTCGCGGGCCCGGCTCTTATTGGATTCGAGAAGTACCCTTCGAGTCCGAAGCTCTTTGTCCCACATGCGAGGTTCCTCGTAGAGATAAATCATAAAGAATAAAACGTAATCGGAGGTCTCGAACGGGACGTAGGTTTCGTTTGGAAGAAGACTGCTGGATGTACCTTAAACGCGGGTTTAAAAATTAATCGACGCGTAACCAGCAGGCACCGACGAGCTCGACCTCCGAAACCGAGTCTTAGAAGAAGCTTCCGGACCGGGGCAATCCCGAAGATGGGAGCATAAATCCCGGGCGTGGATTAAAGCCGTTTACACCGAGCCGTGCTCGAGGAAACTTTCCGCCACGGTTTGCCGGTTCCTCGATTGCTCGCCGCGAAATAACTGGCGAAAGCTGCGAGGATGTTCATCTGCCGTGTCCTGGGAGAAAAGGACCTTGTCTCGAGGACGACTTTAACGAGGCGTTTATCGGAACCCACGTTCCGTGTCGCTCGGTGAAACTTGGCACGGGACTTGACCGGACTTCGGGGATCGGACGAAGGAAGTCGCCGACGGCCCATCCGGCGAAGTTGCGAAACGTTTTTGGATCTCCGCGGAGGTCTCCTTCCACGGCTCCGAGAGGAGACATTCGGCGAGCCGCGAGATGTCCTGATCTGCAGAGTTAATCCAAGAATGTCTCGGGGTGCCTCGAGCCGCTGAGGAGACGTCCCATGAAGGGACGCGCCGAGGGGCGAATGCACCCCAAAGAGTGCACCGGCATGTGAAGACGCTCCGCCCGGAAAAGCGATGTCTACTTCTCTTCCCGTACTCATCTGTTTTATACTTTCTTTTGGTAAGTACGCGAAGAGGGGACGCCCGAAATTTGCGAGGGCGTCCGTTCTCCACGGCCTGCGAAAAATGGCCGCCTCTAACTTATCGTTAGATACGGCTTTACCCTCCGTACGGGAAACGTGCGCGGCCCACAAACTTCCGGGAACAATTTTTTGGAAGCACGTAACTGGAGCGGTCGAAAAACTCCCGTTTCCAACTTGGAAATCGACCCTGCCACCGACTCGCGGAACGTTCCCTCTTTGAGGGATGCATTTTTTACGCGGCGCGCACCACCATTTTCGCATATTCAAAATACTGCATCGTTTTTAATCATTCATGGCTTGAATCGAAAAACAAAAATTACGGGTTTTCACGGTAAGGCGGGAGGCAGAAGTCGATCGCGGAATTTTTTGAGTTTTTGGGGAGAATCGCAACGGAAATATCTAATCTCGGAAACGGTCGAACATTTTTCACTCCGAGGGGGTAGTTTTGTGCTTCCTTTTTAACGGTCTGGAAGGCCTTCGCGTTAACGGGGAGATTAAATGTAAATTGAGGCCGTAAGGAAAGGGGTGCTCGACGGTAGCGTGCCCCCCTTGGAGCCTTTCAAAACCGGCAAGAAGTTCGGTTCGTTAGTAAATCCCTTTCAATTTTAAACCTCCCCTGGAAGAGACCCCTACCCGGCGATACGAAGCGCTTCATCAAACCCAACGAGGTGTTTCGCTCGCCGGTCGAGCCAAAGAGGGAAACCGGAAATTCTTAAATGGGACCCTCGGAGCTCTCGTGCTTTCTGGGAGAATTAACATTTTGATACCCTATCGATTATCGATATTCCCCGGGCGGAGGAAAGAGCTGCACGTCGAATGTCTGTAGCTTAAAGGTTGCGTCTCTTCGACACCTGATACACCGAAACCGGAAATTTAATCCTCTACTTGCCTCGCGCCCAAGCGATATCCTTGCGAAATCGAGCCCGATCGGTTGGAAATGATCAGCCACTTTAACGATAAATTTAACGTCGCGGGCAAACGATCCAGAAGTCAATGGGCACGTTTAACTCTTCATCCCTCGAAACCGAGGCACGCGAGTCCGGCGGTTCTCTTTCCCGGCGGGAACATAAATCGGATATTTCCAGCGGGATATATTTGCGAAAACGAGGCCGCGGCAGGAGCTACGATTTTCTGGGTTTATTGGCGCAAATCGGGTCGCGCGTCTTCGATATGCGTTGCACGGGGACGCGTAATTTAACAACCCTTTAACCGCGCGTACTTCGCACGCGCGAGTATCTTTTAGGCAGTTAACATCGAATTGGAGTTCCCCGCAGGGAAATTCACTTTCCCAACCTATCGAGACGGCGCTAAATTGGGAACTAAGTTTCCGCTTTAACGAGAACCGACCGGCGTCGCTTTATTATAAATTCTCCCGCTACCGGCGCCGCCTTCTTCTTCCTCGGGGGGTGTACCTTTTTAACGCGATGGCGAAAACGCAATGAGCTCGCGTATCGCTTAATAGCGTCCTTGATTCCTCTCCTCGTTTGAAGTCACCACCTCAATTTTACAGGGGCGCCTCGCGAAAGGCAGTAAAGGATTTTGCTCTCTGGCCTCTGACACGCGTAGAGAGGCCGGCATTACCTCCCGGAAAAACTCGGCCAAAGGCTGTCGCTCGTGGCCTTACAAAAAGAGGAACTAGACCCGAGGGTAAAGGATTTAATGTCATTACCTTTACTCTCTTGTCGCGCGATGTTATTTCCTTCGTTCCTTCGTCTCCCCGCCCCCCGCCTTCCCTTTTTCGCCCAGAATTAAATATATAACCCTGGACACCGTCGGCCATGTTTTACCAAAGCAGGAGTAACGCCATTATTCTCCTCCGAGGGGGGAATCCGTTTCCGTGTTTTCTCCTCCAATTAAATAAATAACCCTCCTGGCTGCACGTAACCCATATTTCGCGGGAGGTGCTGATCCTTTATTTTTATCAGAGCGTCGATAGAAAAATAACGCGTATCGGAAAATGCCGGGACCGGGAAATGGTTACGCGCGCCATCGTCTAAAGATAAAATATGGTCGCCGTTCCAGACATTGTCGGGCGAGCATCTTTCGACTCGATTTCATTATTCACCGGGCGGTAACCGCTTCTCTTCCTCCTCCTGTCCAATTAAATAAAGAATCCACGTCGCCGGCTGTCGTCTCGGGACAATTTTATCCGCTGGTTTTACCCGATTTTAATGAGATTTCAATTTGTTCGGGATAAAGTATAACCGAGGCAGTAAAATCACCTAGCCGAGTCGGTTCCCCCGGCTAGATACTAAACGCGGGATAATTAAGGCCAAACTCGAATGTATATTTAATCAAATTTCAAGCCATTAAGCTCAGTTCCTTCATGGCATTTCCTGGACTGCGGAATTAATATCAGCCACCCCCCGAAGAATGTTCGCCCTCTCGGAAAGAGGAGGAAAGTCGGCCCCGGAGTCGACCTCCGCCCCGAGTCAAAGGCATTCGCGCTAACTTTGTCTCTTGGCGGAACATCTCGAAAGACGCTGTTGACAAGTATTTCAAGTAGTTCTGGAGCAGTTCCCCTCGCCTGCCGGGTGTTGGCGAGCTTTCAATTTCAAATAGATCTCGGTGCAACGGTAGTGGTACGCCGAGCCGTTGGCAAGTGCTTTGAAGTTTCGCGTATCGCGCATCCTGCCGAGATGTGGCTTGCTCGGCGCAACGATGCGATCACCGATGGCCCAGGCACGCCGAAAATCGCGGGGACTTCGCAATTAATTTCCAGATCGGGCTCGGTTGTCCGAATGAATCCGCGATGTCCGGCGAAAAAGTAGAAACGGAAGCGACTGGTCGGCCACGGTTGTTCTTGGAGGATTTGCATATCGGGGCATCGCCTCGTCGATCACGGAAGCCGCTGGACGCGGCCAGCAATTATCCCCGAAAGGGGTCCGCGATTAATTCCTAGATTTTGGTCGGGAGAGCGCACGCCGCCTGACCATTCCCGAAATCGAGTTTCCGCAAGTCGGCGTCCGGTAGGAAGCCCACAATGTGGTTCACGTACACCGCCGATCCCCCGTGGTGTCGACCGTCGACGGGATATTGCCGCGACGGACGTTATTGCCTAATCGTTTTTATCGAGACTGCATCCCCTGCTCTATCGGCGACCAGGGGGCCGTTAAACTCGGCCGCTTCCAGACCCCAAAGTGTTCCCCGGAGTGGCCGGACCTCGTGCATCGGAAATAGATCAGCGGAAGGACGCGCCCTACCTCGCGCCTTCGGTCCCTTCGCCTCCCGAGGGCTCTCGTTCCTCGATTCGGCCCTCGATCGAAGGAAGAAGGCTCGGCCTGGGCGAGGGTGCGAAAACTCACCACCCCGGGTCCCGGGGGTGGTTAAACATTTGCCGGCTCCCTCGGTTTATAATTCGTAAAAGCGGCAAGGGCGCCGGGAGAGCGGCGGCGTCGGAGATTAGCGAAGGGATTTTAGGGGGTGAACCGTAGCGAGATTTGGCTTTCCCGAGAGTGGCGAAATAGGATTTTGCGGTGACCAGGAAAACCGCCGTGTCCCTCACTGTCCGGGCCGGCTTGTCCCGCCCGGGGCGGAAATTCAGTGACGGATGGGCCGCCGCGGTCGTCGGTAACTCCGGTCCTCCCTCAGGAAGTATAAAAACGAAATAATTATTCCGCGCCCCCTCCACGGCGACCATTCGGTTCGTCTCTTGAGTGCCCTTCGGCACGAACCACGGAAATCGCAATAGAAAAAGCTTCGCGAACCGCATCGATGACCGCAACCCCGAAAATCCCTCCACGACCCTGATACTCGAATTTGGTTAACGAATATTGCCAGACGGAAGGGCCAACGGCAATCGGATTTTCAACGCGCTCCGGCGAACGCGATAACGCCACCGAAATTAAATCTTGATAGCTGCTATCAAACGCAACTACCGGCCAGTAAACAGGGCCGATTGCCCGAGATATCTCCTTAATCGCGCGTGATTCGATAAATCGCCCCCTCGTGAGGGGCATCGGGGGCATCGGTGACCCCAGCCGCGGTGGGACCGGATCCGGCCCCGCTTCCCGTCGTAACTCGGAGCTCGCGGAAACGTCGCCGGTCTTTGAAAGGAAGGTAAAACGGTGGGACCCACGTGGATGGAGCGAGGAATTTCCAGAGCCGCGAAAATCGCCCGGAGCTCTTGGAGGAGCGCATCGTACGGAGGGGAAATTTAATTAGTTCATTAACGCAGTTACGGAGATCCGTCTCACGCGGGAATTACGAGTGCGATTACATATTCCGAGGGGGGATCGCACCTCCGGTGCGAGGCGGCCGAAAAAAAATGTGCCATTCAAATTCCTCTTGTTTTATGCGCTTTCAGGCACGGGGACATGTCTGCGGAACTTTCGGACGGACTTTCTGGAGGAATGGCCGACGCCCGGCACCGAGCCCCACTTCGACACTTCGATGCCCTCGAACTTCACCGGCCTCGTCGGCAAGACCGTGCACCTCGTGTGCAAGGTCAAGAACCTGGGGACCCGAACGGTACGTTCCGCGTGTCGAGGGCACCCGATGCTCCGAAGAGGGCTCGATGCGTAATTATAGCGGGTACGCGCCAATTCAAGGGTGTTCGAAATCCAATTCCGAGCGGATACCTGCCGGCTCGTCGGCGATCCGCGACTGCCCCCCATTTGTGTCGCGTCCTCGGGTGATCGGCCAAATTGCTAATTTATAGTTCACCTAGTCCACATATTCGGCATTACGAGTTATCGTCCACGCGGGACACTTCCGTTTGACCGCGCTTTGACGGGTGCACCAGAAGTGACCAATCCCGGCATGAGCGATGATTGCGCCTCGCGAATTGGGGCCGGCGCGTCCCTCGTTGGACTCAATTTGCCCGGCGCCCGGGTGCACTTTAATTGAATCGTGACGGACGGTATCTTCGACGACCCCCCGCTCCGAAAGTACGAAACTCCTCGAAAACGCCCGAGTCCATTAAGCGCTCTATTAGCGGAATCTCTTTTCCGATCGCCAGCCCAGCGCGGACAAGCCGATATAAAATGTCCCTATTATCCGGCAAGAACTTGCTAATTTTCCTGGCGACCTTTCCATCGGGAGGCAGCCGGCGCGAAAGAATTCCCTCGGAGACAAAGGGGAGGAAAGTTTCGCCCGACCCTGGCCAGTCGTCTTCCAGGGCGAAAACAGCCCCGGATGGGCGGCGGCCAGAATTCGGGCCTCGCCGGGGCGCGTCTCGCCCCGAAATGAATTATCTCCGCAAATTAGTGGCGCATAGGCTGGAGGAAAAATGGAACGAAGACCGCGACAAGAGTGCATAATTTATGCGGCCGGCATCCGCCGCGTCGTCCACTGCTCGCATTGTTTTTCCGCCGAGCGAGACGCATCGCCCTCGCGCGGAGAGATGCATGTGCACGGGCACGAAGCGGGGCTGAAAAATTAAATTTCCACGAAGAACGCGTCGCCGGTACCAACATATTTTTCTCCCCGAGAAAACGAGTCGAGCTCTAAGTAAAGGGCGTAGAAAAAAAAAGGATTAATTTGCTGCACACGACGAGTGCCCCAACGGCTAACCTGCCGAGCGCGCCTCGTCTATTCCATGCCAGGCGTTGAAGTCTCCAAAAAAGTGTCGGACTTTTTCCGCCATGGATTTATTATGCATATGGAAGGCTAATTGCCGCGAACTGGGCACCTGGGCGAGTAAAAGTGCACGCGGGGGTATGCACGTATACGAGCTAAGAAGCTACCGCTAATGTAACGGCGAAGGTAATGGCGGTCTCCTCTGGTGTACACGTCAGGCCCGACTAACGAGGCGAGCTTAACTGCAGCTTAGCCGTTTTCTCTGCGAGCGCGGTTATGCAGCCCCTTATGGATTCACCGGACGTCCACGGAGAATAAAATCTGGAAAATATATTCCCTTCGTAACTTTTCGAGCCACTCTCCCCTGGAAACGAGCTACTTAGTTGGGTACACGGGATCGGGTCGAGACTCACCTCGGTACCGTCAACCAAGAGACGTTCCGCCTCTGGACTAACTCCGAACGACTCCGATTTCCAGGTTTCCTGGGTAAGACATCGAGACATCCACCTGCTCACCGTGGGTCGTTACACCTACACGAGCGACCAGCGATTCGAGGCGCTGCATCTGCCCCACACGGAGGAGTGGACCTTAAGGATACGGTATCCTCAGCGCAAGGACTCGGGGATCTACGAGTGCCAAATATCCACGACGCCGCCCATTGGTCACCCGGTGTACCTCACGATAGTCGGTGAGCAGCGGAAATTCACATTTCCCTCCCCCATTCTCGAGGTCGAGAGACGTCCACGGGACATTGGAGGTTCTTGGACCAGCGCCGACAAATCCTCTCCTTATTTTTTGCCTGGTGTCCCCATCGCCGCGGAATCCTCGCGAGAGAGTCGCTCGTCGCGGAAGAGCAATCGCGCACTTAATCCTTTCGGTTAATAAATAATCCGGGTATATTCGCGCTTTTACGAACGCTTTTCACTTACGAGAGCATTCTTTATTGTTATCGTCGATCGAGTCCATCCCGCGGCACTATGGAAAAGTAACGACCCTTGTCTGCCAAGAAGCACGAGACGCCCGGTAGAAATTCCTCCGGTGGAGAGTAGGTGCGCTTAATCCAAGAGCGATGTAAAATTGAAAGGCGCAGTCGAGAGTCGAAAGAGGCGGGCCCGGAAGGTTACTCAATTGGTTAACCGGCCATGGTGCGTGCAGTCAGCGTCCAAGTATCAAGCTAACGTGCAAGATTTATGCGATCCCCCTTCGACGCGGTTTACTGCCCTTCCTATCATCGGCCGTATCTCGAATGCTGTTTCAGAACCGGTAACGATCATAGTGGGAGCCCCGGATCTCTTCGTCAATAAGGGAAGCACCATTAACCTGACTTGCCTTGTCAGATACGCTCCCGAGCCGCCCCCGATGATGACTTGGAGCCACAACGAGGAGGTACGACCACCCTGAGAGACGATTCCTTTGAAAGTTCCTCCTCTCATTGTTCCATTCCTCGAACCACTTTCTGTATCGCCAACGAGAGACGAGCCCTCCTCGGATGGCGATTCGTCTTCTTGGGGAGGCCGTCGGTCCTAAAATCCGCGATGTTGTCCCATAGGAAATCAACTTCGATTCTCCGCGGGGCGGGATCAGTCTGGTCACCGAAAAAGGTCCCGAGACCTCGAGTCGGCTGATGATCCAGAAAGCGGTTCCGAGCGACTCGGGCATCTACAAGTGCGGACCCAGCAACGCCAACCCCAGCATCATCCGGGTGCACGTGGTGAACGGTGAGCGGAATTCTTCCTCACTTCAAAATTTCGCAAGGGTTAGAAATGTGACGGAGATGCTTTGGTTTTGTTCCACAGAGGAACATCCTGCCGCGATGCATCACGGAGACGGGAGCACGTCGCATTCGAGGGGTCATCCGGCTTGTTTTATAATTTTACCACTAGTCAGCCTAATGTTTATATGAAGTAATAGGAGGATTATCTAAATCGAGTCGAGAAGGACGAGATCCGCGCCGGGCATCGGGATGTCCGTAGAATTATTTCGCGCAGGGTAAAATCGCGAAGGTTCGCCGTTCGCGGTGCACCGACGGAATTCCGTGACCAAAGAGAGGAAGACGGAAGGCGGAGCGGAGCGTTTCCGATATCAAGCCAGAGCGCAATAATCGGTAAGAGTGTAGTATTTTGTTAAAGTATATCACACCGAAGCCGATTACCTTACGGCGGTCGACGTGAGGGGCGAGGATTGTAAATAAATTTACTGTATGTACATATCAATAAAACGATTGTCTTTCGAGGCGTAAGCTTACTTCCTCTGTTCAAACGCAAAGACAACGTTCATCTACTCGTATCCGTCGCTTTCACCCGATAACGTCTATCGCGCGACGCAAATTTAACACAATCCTTGCTTTCCACTTTTTCTATTTTTTTTATTCGTCTTCATTCGATATTCGACCGACCGTTGTACGTTTTTTCAATTTTTTTGTTCCTTTTTATCACAGCGAAGTTATCCCACCGACGAGACCGTGTCCCCCGTACCAAGTCGTGACTGGGGTCAAGTTGGAGAACGCAATACCAATTCCCAGGAAGAAGCTGGACGGTCGCGAATCCCCAGACGACCAATCGTTATTCAATTGGCCTAAGCCCTGCCAAAATTCCGCGAGATCTGCAACATCCAATAATTACAGTGTCACCCACTTCGAAAAGTCAATTTCCTGCCTGACATTACGCGTTATGTGGTAGCGCGACGTAACTCCGACCGACGTTTGTCCTATCGAAACGCGAACTATCGCAAATGTCGGGAGAAGCCGACGAAGGGCCTCGGTGCCGGTAATACCGGCACGAATCGGTACAAGTACTCATCGAGTGGTGGAGCAACTAGAGCTAGACGAGTAGTCGATGAAATCGACGACCTTTGGCTCTCGCAGCCTGGGCATCATGGGCGGCGCGGTCCAGGCCCGAGGCTGTTTCCCCCCTGGATTCGACCCTCGGGACTTCTTCTCCCGGTCCTTGAGCCCGGGCTGTTCCCTCGCTCTCATGGACTTCCCGAAGACGAAGAGGCACGGGCCGAGATACGGCTGGAAGTCCGGGACGTGTTGCCTGTAGGCCAGCTCGAAGCCGCCGGTGTCCGCCGTGGGATCGATCGGCACGTCCAGGATCACTTGAAACCAATGTCAAAAGGATGCTCGAAAACGTAACGTCAAGCCAAGGCCCACGTGAGAACGAGCGATTTAACGGCTGGGTGAGTGAAAATATCTCGTTTCATGGGGGAGGGTTTTTACGAGATTCCGGTGTACCTTTGACCAGACTATCGAGGACTTCCGAGTAGAGCCTCTGGGTAATCTTCAGACTGGGTGGGTGCATTCTGGGGTTCGTATTGATCTCGATGAGCCACACGGTCAAGTCGTCCATGACCATGAAGTCGGCCCCATAGAGCTCGAAGCTGCAGCGACGTCTGTCCATGTACTCCTGAGAGGCCAGCATGGTCAGCACGATCGCTTGCGACATTTTCGGGTATATCTCGTCGAAATAAGGCTCCCCTTTGTACCCCGCGCTCCTGGGCGAGAGAAAACGGATCGGGAAGTTCTCCTGAAGGAGCACCACGCGGTAGAAATGTTCGACTTCGAGCGACACCCGAAATGAAAGGCGAGCCGGAACGGAACCCGGGAGAACGACGTCTCTTGGGCATTTCCCATGCACCGGGACCGTAAACCGCGACGGTCGCGCCGGGGAAGTAGAAAATTATCAACGAAGCACGAATCCAAAACGATGGCGCGCGAGGGCTCTCCGGAGAACCGACTTTGTCCTTTCTCGTGGGGCGTACGTTACTTGCGATAAATTCGGTCAACCCCTCCGCGTTGCCCCAATTTACCACAAAATCTGGGGACTGCCGACGATGCTCTCGCCACTTCTCGGCAGGCATTCTTCCCCGCGTATGGCTCCCTTTTGTGCGACTCAAAGAAGGAGTGTCATGGAGACTCTTCGCTGGCTCGCATTTCGAGGCCCGAAAGCTCAAAGCCTCGAGGCACCCGAAATGAGAAAGAAACGCGAAGGGATCTTTAAAGGGAGGACTCCACATCCGACGCCTCTCCGCGCGAACGTTTCGGAGAACACGAAAGCAAGAACGATTGCCGGAGCTAAAGCTCCGCGCCCCTCTCGGTGGCTTCTTTCTTTCTTACTTTTCCATTAGAATACTCGCGAGCCCTGCGGTACCGTACAAGGTCCGAAATTTTAGAAATCGACCAATTAAAACCTCTCCCCGCCTAGCCGAGCTCGCGGAGCAAAGAGGAGGGAGGGCAGGGAATTACTTCAAATACTCGTTCAACTTCTGACAATCCCATTCCTGATCGCGAATCGATTCCGCCTCCACTCGCTCCTCCGGACCGCCCCTCTTTCTGCGCCTCCTCTTCTCGTCATCGTATTTCTCCTGAATGGCGGTATTGCAGATGTGAATTGCCTCGTGATACGTCGAGAAGGTGTAATGCTTCGAGCTGAATCGTAAAAATCCTTCCCTGGAAGTAACGCCGCGTTTATGCCGATTACGTCGTTTGCATTTGCCGGGGTTCGGTTTCCTCCCCCTTCCGCGATCTTGGTCGTAACGGTTTTCGAAACGTACTTGAAGAGCCATATCGTCAGGGGGAAGGTACTCGTTACGAGGTACCACTGGCGGATATCGAACTTCGTGTTCCGCACCAGCAAGGGGCGTTCTGTGCGAAAGATGGAAAATCCAATGTCCCGGATGAAACGTTAAAACCGCGGAAGAACTATTTAGAAGTATGGAAGGCCAAAAAGGAGGGACGCCTCACCGATGTATTTCTGCACGATGAAGTAATCCTTCGGTCTGCTGCCAACCTTGCGGAAGATATCCTTAAGATTATGAGAGATGCCGATCCCGGTGCCGCAGCATAGATCGCTCGGTTTTACGATCCATATATTCCTCGTGCCGCTGAGCTCGTACTGCGGGTCGACGTCTTTCAGTTTCCGCAGGATGGAAGTGGCGGTCTCGTAATACTTCTGGAATTTTTTACGCAAATACGAATTTACATCCCGGAATCGACGCAAAAAAAATTGGAAGATGGGATCGAAAGCAACCTCGAGCCTTTCCAAGGCGTCCTCGTAAGGCACGACGATGCCGTTCCCCTTGTACAGGACCTTGGAGCAGTCGTCCAGGAAGAGACTCCACTCCTCGTCGAGGACCCCCACCTCGTCGCCGTCTATCGTTCGATGGTCGACGTCGGCCAGAAATTCTTCGCAGCGTTTGATAGCGAATTCCAGCTGACTGACCGGGATCGGCTGGGAGCCGACGTTGAAGATCCCTCGGGCGTTCTCCGTGTGCTCGACGAACCACTTGAGCAAGCTCGTCGCCGCGGTTTGTCGGAAGTCCTGGAGGAAGGCTCGGGGTTCCCGGCTGACGTTGTAGCTCCTCGGGAACCGCACGCTCGATACCTCTTCCTCGTAGAGCCAGTGAGCGTTTTGCAGCAAATGGGCCATGCCGAGCTGATAACGAACGTTTCGAGAACCGACCGCTTTGCGGGTTCCCCGCCGAGGAGGCGATCTCCCGAGGGACCGTCGCGAGAAATTCGAAAACCGGGCGAACGAGGAGGGAACTTTGGGTACCTTGGAGGTATAGACGAAGGACTTTTGGAATCTGTTGAGAAGAGCGTGACTCCCGAGGGAACGGTCCCACTCGACGAAGTCGTTCCGGCAGTCCCAGACAAAATTCGGCGGCCTGTGCCGCAGCATGGCAAAGATCAGAGCCCTCTCGTTTAGCGTCCCGTCCGGCTTCCTGACATCCCCCAGGGACTTGGCCTCCAGACTCGCGACGCTTCCTGCTTTTGCAAAGGAGGAAAAGACTCTCTCCTTGCCTCGAGGACTCTATATTTGCGCCATTACGCGTTACGTATTACTTCTGACGTCTAACCGTACGGAACAGTCCTCGTCCGGCTCGACTCGTACTTCTGGACCCAGCCGCGCTCCTCCAAGGCCTGCCTCAGCCTCGGCAGGTCGCCCCGAATCAGGAAGATCTTGTGTTTCTGGACCAAAAACGCCGGTTACTCGCTAAAAGGACGGACGACGCCGAAGCGAGGGTATCCCGGGAACGGGCCCGAAGAGGCATCTCCAGCCCGGAGGAGCCGGAATGCTCGGAATAACCGGAAATGGCGAGAGATGGAAGAGATACCCGGGCGAGACGCTCGTTCCGGATTACCTGTACAGCCTTTTCCACTTTGGCCTTCACCGACGAGTAGAACTCCTTCCGGAGCCATTCCGCCCTGCCGCGGTCGTCCTCGGGACTCGACGAGTCCTTCGGGACTCGAGAACACGCGTCCAGGCTGGATTTCGGGCAGCTTCCCTCCAGAGAGGGGACGCTATTAACCAAGCTGACTTGGCCACCCTCGAGGTCCGGAAGCGGCCACTCCGGACCCGTCTTGGAGTACTTGAATCGGTTATAAGGATTTATAGGACTCTCCTTCCGCTCCAGATCCTCCTCCGGAGGACGCGCCGCGTCCGCGGACTCGTCGACATTCGCCGTCTCCGTTTCCCTGCACGGAGAACCGCGAGTCGGTTATTTAGGGGCTTTTTATTCCGGGACACCCCGAGCGACTTGCCTGACGGACTTCTGACATCGCTTCTTAACGGACCTCTGAATTTCGGCTAACCTCTTCGGGGTGGGATTCTCCGATCGGAGGGCGTGCTCTCGTTTGCTCTCGGATAATCCCTGGGATCCGCGGGGAGATTGGCCCGGTGAGCTCTTCCCGGAAGTTTGCGGGAAAAGTTTCACGGTGACGTCCGGAGATGCGTTTTTGAAAGGGGTTTCTTCGCGGGCGAGCTCGGTCGGAACTCCTTCCGCCATTTGCCCGGGGGTAGGTCTCGACGTTCGCGCGCGATTCGCGCCCTCGACTTCGGGGAGCGACCCGAGAGAAACGGTTCGCGATCACGGGCCGGGAAATGGAATTTTGAGTCGGATTGGCTTCTCCTGTCGGTCGCGAGAGCGCTTGGTTATGGACCGAACGCGTTTTCGACTCGCGTTCTTCAGATGGTTTCGGACCGGTTAGCGGCAACATAGCGCCGACCGAGCGCAACGGCGTTTCCGCGGCCGCCTCGGATTCGGGAGGAGAGGAAGAAAATCCCAGTGACCCAAAAAAAAATGAGTTTCTGGGTCGAGCTCGCACGTAGCCCGGCTAGGGTGGCTCGGGATACCTCGGGGAGCGACTTTTGGAAGTTTTCGCCGATCTAGATTATCTCCCAAAGGGGACCCGCGAGGGAGAAATCCTCCCGTAGGGGATCAGGGAAGGACGAGCGGGGGACAATAAGGGCTTACCCGCGAATTAATTTCCGGTTTTCGAGCGAGCTCTTAACCTCGTTTAAACTAATATATTTTATGAGGATCTCCCGTCCCGGTCGCCTCTTTAGGGCACAATTAGAATAATGGAAAGTCCGACCGCGGCTCGCCGCGAATAAGACCGTAATTGCGGATGAAAGCTTTAAAAGCGCTCCCAGGAAAGGAGGGAAGCTCGGGTGATTAGAGAGCGCGGTGGGCGCGATTACTCGATTAAGGGAAATCGTTCTCCCGACATGTAAGGTGGCTCGGGGAAAGAAGTTCCCTCTTCGAGAAACTCGGACTTTTCGATCGACCCCCCGCGAAACGTTGCCTTTCCTCGCCTCGTAACGACTCGTAATGGAATATCGGATTATCCGATCGACATATTTCACGGGCCTAACGTACACCGACGTAGGCGGGAGTGTACTAATTGCGCGCGTGCAAGGGCTCGTTGCTTACTCGGTGCAGCCGTTAACTGCGAACAGGATAAAGACAATTTACGAGTCAGTTAATAGCCGGCCTCCGTAAGCACGGGGGGACACCCAAAGCCGGTGGATGAAAGACGTTATCGTTGCCGCAGGGTACACACCGCCCCTGTAATTTATATACGCGTGCGTTTCGTTAATTAAATACAAGACGGGGCTCCGTTTCCCCCGTTGTCTTCGCCCTGTGCGTCTGGCTGCCGTCGAAGATTCAATTACGGTCCCCCTCCGCAGTTTCGCAAACGGTCAGTTAGAAGTCAAAGGAGCCGATATCACCGTCGGACAAAAAATAATTAACGAAATGAATTCCGCGCGACGGTCCAGTGGGGTGGACCAATTAAAAGTCGGACGTGACGGGAGGGAGTCGGGCAAAACCCGACGAGTGAAAGACGTCAACGTTGGTACAGGGCGCACGGCCGGCGTAATTTATGCACGCGTGGGTTTCGTTAATTAAATGCAAGACCGGGAAATTTTCCGGCGTCCGCCCCGACGTCCGCCATCTCCGAAGATTTAATTAGTATTACCGCATTGTACGGCATGCAAATTACGCGGGCCGGCCCGGCCGGGCCGTATAAACATCGAATCGTATTAACGTAATTAACGTCGTTCGGGGGTGTATAAATGCATGCGAGATCGGTGGGTTTTACATTTGTTTAATGTAAAACGATATTCCACGCCCGTGCAACGCCTCGGTGGACCCTTTCGCGTTTCGGTCGTGCGTTCACCGATATCCTGGGATTCCTAATCGGCGACGAATCGACGGGTTGTCAAAATGCCGGACGAACGGAGGCGATCGCATCGATCGGAGGAAAATGACGATGACTGCGGAGCAAACGCAGAGCCGCGCCCAGGCTCCGTGGCCGGGCCGAAACCCCTAACGAGGGGATGTATCGAGCCGCCGTCTCGTTTTTCCCCCGGGACACGTAGAACTCGACGTAGAAAGCGACGAACAAAACGCCTCGAGAGCTTTCCCAAAGGCGCGATTCGAAAGAGAAGCTTTCGTCGCAAAAGCCGATCGCCGTCCGGGGAGAGTCCGGTCACGCTCTCTCCCACCCCCGCGACTCCACCGACCGGCCGACCACAGAGGCCATTACGCTATTTTCGGAAAATAAATTAGCAAAGTCGACCAATAGGGTGCACTCCGAAGGGGCGAAACGAGGGGCCGCGATCGCGGATCGGCACTTTTACCGAGATCCAGGGAAATCTCGCGAACATCGGCTTCCGCTGCGGTAAGCAGAAAATCCGGAAACTGTCCGATCCGCGGGGGTGCGGGATGAACGCGGGACCGCTTAGCGAGTATGAATTCCTCGGACCCTCCGACCCCGGATTCTCGCGATCCTAATTTACGATTCCATAAAAAGAGGGGCGCCGAACTTTTTACAGTGTAGCGGCCAAGTTAATGGACCGCTTAAAGCTCGCGAATAAGTTCGGAGGATATCCGGGGCTTTTACTGACTTTCTCAATTTTTTAGCGCGGCTGATGCTTGCGGTAATTTTCCCATTATGAACTACTTATTCCGCCGGATTTCCGGATAATTTTTAAACGCCGGATCCCGAAATCCTCCCTGGCGACCCACTTCCGGCCGCCGGGGCGATCGAACTAGTCCTCGATCGCGTTTATCGGAAATATCGGCGGATCCTCGCAATAACGTCCTCGGGAGCCGCAAGGATTATCCGGTTGCGTACGAGGCCGAGTGTTTGATCGGCTCCGATATAAAGCCTTTCTTCTCGAGGACCTCTTCCGTGGCCGGGGAATAAAATCGATATCGACTTTTCCACTCGCGTATCTGCGGAAACGGGCGAATCGCGCGAGCTGGAAGATGGGCAAGAAAGGGAGATGGTTCCCAATTCGGAAATATCGCGCGCCCTATTGCACCGAGCTTGAGCTCCTCCTTGTCGTCGTCGCGCGCGAAACGAGGAAAGGGATGAGCCGACGGAATGCGGAAGAGGGAGAGGGCCGCGAGCAATTTTCTTCGTTACGCCCTCTCTCCCCGAAGTGCAATAAAGTTGCTCTCGCAAACACGATGATTCTCACTTCGGCGCATTCCGTCTATTTATTGAATTGCGGCGAGCGTCTCCGAGAGAGCCGGACCTTCGGTGATCCTTTGGTCTTTACGTCCCCCCGCCTCGTCTCCGTTGTTTCATCGGGTAAACCGGGGGTAAATCGCCCCGACGGGAGGAACGTTCGTGGCGAGGCGGCTCCGATGGGTCTCGAATGAACGAATCGAAAAACTCGAAGATGGATCGGAGCGGTTCCCTTCCGCGCGAACGGGAGCCGGACAAAAATGTGCGTCGCGGAGGAGACGGGGTGGCCTTCTTTCGCCGAGTGTCACGTAGTAAAAGCCTCCTGCCGGTGACGTCACGGATGATAAATGCATCCGGCGGCGTAATAAAAAATGCGGCGACCGCGGTATGCCGCATAATAACGGGCACTGAGAAAAGAGACATTTAGTGTACTTGGGGGAGGTGATCTATCTGCCGAGGAAGGGAAGAAGCGCCCGCGGCGTCGAACCTGGATAATCCGTTCTTTTTCCCCGCTTTAACCCATTTTCCCTGATCTATTAGTTCCCTCTGGCCGGAGGCTCGTTCCAGCCTGGTCTCGACCGAATCTCTTCCCCGCGAGGACAACGCGCGTCGTATCTTCGGGGACGCCGCTCTTCCCCCCGCAATTCGTTCCGTACCGCGAGAAGCATCGAAAGCCATTTTATTTCAGAAACCCTAAACCGGGGCGGCGGTTGCTCTCGTCCGTTTTCCATCGACGACCCCTCGTCGATCGTAAGGAAATCCCGGCCCGCCGTCGATACGCGTTTTCCGGTATTAACGGAGATAAGATATCCAGGTAGCGTCCCGAAGACGTACCGCCGGGACGTAACTTCTCGCGAGGGGAGCAAAAATACGAAGGAGAGGTCGATCCTCGGCGTTTGTACCGCGGCATGCAAATGCCGGCAATGGGATTCTCCTTCGTGCGTCGCTGCTGCCTCCTCGGAACTAGAAATATCCGAGACAACGCCTTAATTGAGATTAATCGATGCAATTAGGAGCCTCCTCCGGCGTACTTTATACCCCCCGGTCTGAACGATCCTCTTTTACTCATTGTCGATTCATAAGGACCGATACCGCTCCCTACGGGCCCCGTCTCGCTCGCGATATTTAATGCGAAATCCGTAATGAGCCAATAAATACCGCGGGATCCCCGGAGACCGGCGGCTTCTCCGGGTAATTAGATTTTAAATTTCGCGATCGCTCGATTCCGCCGGAGACGTCGCCCGCCTCTACGCACCGGAGGTGACGATTGATAGCACTCCTCCCGAGAAAAGTTTGTACCGTCTGGAGAGCGACGTCGGGAAGGAGTTTACCGAAGGGTGTAATGCCCCTGGGTGACAATTTGCTCGGCAAACTTGGGAATTTCGTTACCGCGGGGAAAAGCGTAAATGTTTGCCCCCTGTATGAAGCTCAACAAACGTCCGCGGGCCCGAAGGCGGTCCAAGTGTTCCGGAGTACCCGCCGCTCCGGAAACGCGAGTCGGTCATTTTCCTGCACGAGTGCACCGCGCGCGGTTCATCGAGACGAACGTACTCCTCGGTAGATTTACAAGCGACCGGGACTGCTGAATTTCCCGGGCGAGTTCGAGGGATCGAAACAACCGTGACGTCGATTACCGTCCCAAAGAGGGGCACGAAGTTTACCCGCGGCAAGCATCCGGTTATTATCCACGTTTACGGAGCACGCCAAGGCACATAAGATTGGACTCGAACGAGGGTAACTTCTCTTTAATAAGTTCCCTCCTCTCTCGCTCCTCTCCACGATGGCCATTAAAACCTTTT